GTCAATCACTGAATTGTCCGGTCTAGATTCGATTATTTACAGACCGCCGTCATATAGCTGGAATATTGCTGAGTGCGGCTTAATACAAACAAATTTTAAATGACACATTTTTGTCCAAACAAGCAGGGGCTAGGGTTATTTTGTCACATTATATCGATATTTTACGATTGCTTCATTTATTAATTTCTTTAAATGTTTTTTTTTCTATTTGAATATAAGGTATTTGTTCAATGCTGTCTTTTCTGTCTATGAGAATATTCCATTGATGTTATAGCAACACATATTCACCATTCGTCAGACAAAAGAGCAGTATTTAGTCTACCAACACAAGGTTTCGTTATTGTCAGTGCATACACCCTTTAAAGATTGATAATTGTGTTGTGCGAACAGAAACCGACGAGCTCGGGTATGGTGGCGACAAACCTAGAGACATAATCAGGGTCAATCTAGCTTTCGAACTGTCGTGCTCTTTCATGGGTTTACGCAGGTCAAAGGGACGTAACTCTGGACACAAATTGCAAAGAGTGAGCGAGGGGGATAAACGCCACATCAGCAACAGTTTCAGCAAATAGCGACCGAATTGCATGGAAATGTGAAATTATCCTTAAATCAGCTTTTTTATCAACATGAAAACCATGGGTCCATGTGCACAAAGCTACGTCAGCTCTACTGCTACTGTAGAAGTTATGTTAATAGAATAGAAAGAGTGAGTGAGTGAGTTTGGTTTTACGCCGCTTTCAGCAATATTGCAATATTTCAAACGGCTAACGTGTCTTCTTTCACATAACTTTCAAAACGAATTTGGATAGCTAGGTATTTGTGACAATGTTACTAAATAAAACCAATGATAAAGGAAAAAGAAAAATTTGAATTTTATTAAACTTTCTATCATGGATAGTCACCGCCCATCATTTATTAGACAACAAATTATGCCTAAATATTTGACTTCTTAACGCAGTGCTGATCGCCAGGACGAGCCACGCAAAGTTGTCTTAGTCAAAGAAAACATGTCTTTAAAATAATAAAAATAATTTTCCTTTCCTCTCCTGCTGTTTTTATATGTGGAATCAAGCAAACTAGACTTGCTCAGTTTAATCTAGACCTGCCTAGGCTTTTAGTAAAAAAATACTTAAAAAATATAAATTCCATAGTCAGGGTGCAGGACTAAGTGGTCTTAGGGCTATCACGTATCCGAGGACATGAGTCGTAGCGCTAAGATCGCTATTTGGAATCGACCTTAAGATAAATGAGCAAAACGATCATATTTTACATAGCTTAATAAAATAATACACCAACTAAAAGATGGACGCTTGAGAGTTGATGAGTGGGAATGTAATGGCATACTATCACCTTCTCCTTCAGAACTAGTAGTCTGTCTTACAGACCCTGATACAAATATATATCAAATACAGCCCATGCAAGTCTATAATGTTTGGCAAGTCTAGATTACTGCAGTATCAGAGAAAAAGAGAGTCACTGGGCTCCCTTTTATTATATTTTTTATTAAGATAACTGAACAACTGTTTTTTCTGTACGATATGTTCATTTCAGAGACTAGATGTTAGTCTACAGAACAAGGTACACTACTGTTAGGTAGCTGTATTCACGCTAAAGCAACATGGCCACAGCGATGGGCACCATCTTTAAAGGGACGCCATGTGGCATCGCGGCTTCTATTGATAAATCCCAAATATCTAGAAACAATAGGAGTGAGTATTGTTTTACGCCGCTTTTAGCAATATTCCTGCAATATCACAGCGGGGGACACCAGAAATGGGCTTAGAAACAATAGAAAGGAAATGGTTCTCTTATCCAGACTTCGTGTGAGGCATTGTGGTATTGGTACCTACGTCAACGTTCTCAGTAAAGACATATCCTCAACTTGTAGAGTTTCAATAAGCTTGTAACTGTGGATCATCATGTACTGTAATGTTAAAAATATGTAAATCAGCGCCAGGCAATGGTGCAGTCTCTTACAGTTCTCAATACTGACCTCTCATTGGCTGGACCAAAATTGTCTTGGAATATTGGTCGCCGTGACGTTCAGACTGGGGGCGGTCGTGTAGCCTAGTGGTTAAAGCGTTCGCTCGTCACGCCGAAAACCCGGGTTCGATTCCCGACATGGGTACAATGTGTGAAGCCCATTTCTGGTGTCCCCCGCCGTGATATTGCTGGAATATTGCTAAAAGCGGCGTAAAACCATACTCACTCACTCACTCACTCACGTTCAGACTGTAATTCTTGCTTATATGTAAGCGTGTGGCAGCTTCCCAACTTGATAAGAAAATGTATTTGTTTCTAGAAATTTGGCACTTCTGTATAACGATCAAGGTGTACATGGGTCTAGTTGCCCGAAGAGACCCGTGAAGATCCGGGTGAGAATTGGTCTTCAGCAACCCATGCTTGCCGTAAGAGGCGACTAACGGGATCGGGTGATCCGCTGGCTTGGTTGATGCATTGATGTAAATCACTGGATTGTCTGGTCCAGATTCGATTACCTACAGACCGCCGTCATATAACTGGTATATTGCTAAGTGCAGCGTTAAACAACAAACAAAACAAAAGTTGCCTGAAGACATACACAGTTTTCAAAGGTCAGTTAGTCTGAGATGAACTTAACACGAGAAACAGAAACATTTTATGTCCGCTTCATGAAATAACACTGTGAGTTTAACTCGCAGATAATCGAAGACTAACTCGCAGATAATCGAAGACTAACTCGCAGATAATCGAAGACTAACTCGCAGATAATCAAAGACTTACTCGCAGGTAATCAAAGACTAACTCGCAGATAATCAAAGACTAACTCGCAGATAATCAAAGACTAACTCGCAGGTAATCAAAGACTAACGCGCAGGTAATCAGAGACTAACGCGCAGGTAATCAAAGACTAATGCACTTGGAGATGGTGACTGAATATGTTTGTCCGACTAAGTGTACTTTGTTCCTCATACTGAATAGTGTAGTACTAACAAATGACATGTATTATGGAGTATACGGTAATGGATTTTGGAACCAAACAGATAAATGCATACGACTGATCCTTATTTAAATATACCGAACCACCTCACGTGGCAACTTGTGTCATCGGCGATGTGTTTGTGTTCAATTCGTGACTAGGGTAGTGTGAACAGCATCACACCGCCCGTAAGCTGTTCTGACACGTGAACACACAATGCCATTTAGAAAGTGGTCAGTTGTAACCAATGGCACCTAATGGCATCTCATCGCCAGCACACAAAGTCAGCGATCTAACCCACTAAGCCACCGAGGATTCCAAACCCTGCGACTGAGCGGGTTAGATCGCTGACTTTGTGTGCTGGCTATTATGTGCCTCACTCTAGCAGTGTGGGTTCGAATCCTGGATGGGACTCAAGCCCCGAAAAGTACGAGAATCTGTACGTTACTAAAAAAAGTGTTATCCCAAATATATCATTTGTAACTGTCAGAGACGTTCGTGTGAGTTTTTTAGCGCAGCTTGTCGCTGATACAATCTCTGTTAGGTACTTTATTTAAAACATTTCATACAAAGGGGTCATTGTGAAAATAAACTGCCGATCTGAAGAAAAGTACACACTTGAAAATTGTATCTGGCAAATTAATTACAAACGTTATCAAAACGTTCTTTGGCTGAAAACTGTCGCCGAAACACTACATAACTTAAAGTCCAAACACCTGTATCAAAAGTATCACCGTCGAATAACCATTTCTTGTTTGTTTCATTTTTAGTGATATGGGTGTGTATTTTCTTTTCCCAACAGTTTATATGTATTTAAATGGATCATATCAATCAATCTTTCATCATAAAGTAGTGAAGGTCATAGGCCATTTCTACAGTTACATAATTTCTTGAGTTTGTTGGTTGGTTGGTTTGTTGTTTAACGCCGCACTCAACAATATTCCAGCTATATGACGGCGGTCTGTAAATAATCGAGTCTGGACCAGACAATCCAGTGATTAATATCATGAGCATCGATCCACGCAATTGGGATCGATGACATGCATCAACCAAGTCAGCGAGCCTGACCACCCGATCCCGTTAGTCGCCTTTTACGACAAGCATAGTCGCCTTTTACGGCAAGCATTGGTTGCTGAAGACATGTTCTAACCCGGATCTTCACGGGTCGATATACCAGCTCGAGTGAATAAATATCGGTACTCATATGAAGCGATGGATATATACAAACTCCTGAGATTATCATAAGCATAACACACAAGTATAACATGGTAATCATCCTGTATATATCTTTGTTTGCATACATGACTTACTCTATCTGATGTTGTTTCTTTAACATATCTAACAGGTTCAATTCGGATTGTATCTTATACACATACAATAAACTACGGTTATAACGAACACGCTTATAACGAACTGACCGTTAAAACGAACTTATTTTTTAGTCCCGGCCATTTGATGTATATATGCTTGTAACGAAAAACCGTTATAACGAACTAAAATAAGTGGTCCCTTTGAGTTCGTTATAACCGTAGTTTACTGAACATAATACATTTAGAATCCCAGATGACACACCCTGTAAGAAATATAATATTAATGCAACCGTTACACAAACGCGAAAGAACATTTTAAAAATAATATGTAAAGGAAAATAATACTCAGTCCCTTATTGTCTTCATTATTTTCATCTATTTTTTATATAAGTCTTATAAATAATGAGAAATTAGACAATTTACATACTATAGTACACGGCGAAATCATTATCGAGAAACCCCAACTCCCGCGTCGATCACTGTGAGTTGTCCTGGCGAATGTACAAAGGGAGACTACTCTATGTTTACTGTCACAATGTCCGGGACTTCGGACGAGCGAGATTTCATTGAATTTCGCAATCTCGTGTGTGTGTTGTTGGTGACGTCACTCATAATCAACAACATAGTTGGTAATAGATCGCGGAAGGAGGCGTTCAATGTGTCAGCTATCCACTGAATACGGTACATGTATAGATCTTCGCCACTCAGACATATTTCTTGCGGTGTTGCAATAACCACAGCTTTGCATATGCAGAGTTGGGGCACGATGGGTTTTTTAACTGGTTAGGAATGTATAATCAACTCAGCACGCATGAGCAACTCACAATACGATCACGTAAGTGGAGTGCTTTATAAACACATGTTCAAGCGTCATCACTGTGACGAGCTGGCCCTAAACATGTGTATTTAACACGGGTAGGACTAACAATTTCAAGCGTTTGTGCAATCGGAATACGTTTTGGGATATAAAAGACCCAAGGAACGAAAATATCTTCATTGGCGGTGGAACACAGTCATAACAACCTCAGAGGTTTATTTGAACCTAGCTATGGCAATGGCAGCTGCCCCCTCGGGGGCTACGATAAGGTAACGCATGACGCGACACACTCACAAATACCGTGACTATTCTTGTAAAACAATTATATACACCCTGGTCTCACAAGGCGAGCTGTGTTTGAATGAAAGCATCCTCAGTTTGGTTCTAATCGAACTTTTCAAGATCAACTGTTGCAATGAAATATTTCCGTTACAGTATTAGCTTTGATTCATCGTTTCATATGAGTACCGATATTTATACACTCGAGCTGGTATATCGACCCGTGAAGATTCGGGTTAGAACATGTCTTCAGCAACCCATGCTTGCCGTAAAAGGCGACTGCTTGTCGTTAGAGGCGACTAACGGGATCGGGTGGTCAGACTCGTTGATGCATGTCATCGTATCCCAATTGCGTGAATCGATGCTCATGATGTCAACCACTGGATTGTGTGGCTTAGATACGATTATTTACATATAGCTGGAATATTGCTGAGTGTGGCGTTAAACAACAAAGAACCGCTGGTGTATTGTCAAGCATATTCGTGATTTAGAAGCCTGTTCAGGGACATGGAGTTGATTTGGCTGCGGTCACCTCTCATCGTTTTGAGGGGTCGGTCTTTGAGGGGCTAATTTGATCTACTATCACTGAACAGGGACGATCGATAGTCCAAGACCCGTAAAGATTCCGGGGTAGAATAGGTCTTCAGCAACCCATGCTTGCCGTAAAAGGTGACTATGCTTGTCGTAAAAGGCGACTAACGGAAACGGGCGGTCGACTCGCTGACTTGGTTGATACATGTCATCGATCCCAATTGCGTGGATCGATGCTCATGATATTAATCACTGGATTGTCTGATCCAGATTCGATTATTTACAGAACGCCGCCATATAGCTGGAATATTGCTGAGTGCGGGGTTAAACAACAAACCAACCAAACCAATCGATAGTCCAATGGTTGAATTGTTCGCTCGTCACACTGAAAACCCGGGTTCGTTTCCTCACGTGGATACAACATGCGATATGCATTTGGGAGCATTCAGATGGACAATAGTGAGTGAGTGAGTTGGGTTTAACGTCGCTTTTAACAGTATTCCAGTTATATCGCGGCGAGTCAGCTTAATGTGGGAGGAAAGCCTGAAGTGATGCAGGTCTCAGACCTCTACCACTTCGGTGAAACCCACGAGCACGGGTATGGTGCTGACAAACCTAGAAACATAATCGGGGCGAACCGGGATTCGACCCACAACCATAGGTTTCTGGCGTGCCTAAGGGACGCAACACTACACAGCGAATCGCGGCGCCTTAGACGACTGGGCCACCCGTGCCCCCCAGGTAGACAATAAATGACATAAAAGTGTCTTGATTCATATTGCTCTTTCAAGTGAGACAGTTTGGTAAATAAGTTGTTTTCAAATATAATTCTAAAATGACTTTTTCTTCTACGTTTTAGCCAAGTATCCATAAGTGAACTTGAAAACAATGGCTATTGCGTCATCAATGATGTCATCAGTCAAGAAGAATGTGATGAACTGATCGGCCAGTACAAATGTTGGTTGGAAAAGTTTGAAGAGCCTGATTGGCCAAATCACAGACGTTCTAATATATATCAATATAGGATTGGTCACTTTGGAGCCACGTGGTGTGCAAGGCTAAAGGTGAAACCAGTGTTTTCTTCGTTGTGGAAGACGGACAAATTGCTCACTAGTTTTGATGGCGTGGCTGTCTCACGGCCCCCAGAAGAAACTGACAAGGTGTTCGATTCCGGTCAGAACTGGTTCCATGTAGAGCAGAAGGTGTCACGTGAGGGCCTCCATTGTTACCAGGGGGCGCTATACTTAGAAGAATCTACCGAAAATGACTTCTGTTTCCGGGCACTGAAAGATTCGCACAAATATCATAATACTTTTTTCGATCATTACAAGCCAGCACGAGCAAAGAGCCTTAAGAGCGATCTCTACAAATTAGCAACGAACCAAGTTGGTTGGTACAGAAAAAAGAAGTGCAAAGAAGTGAAAGTAGCAGTCCCAAAGGGAGGGATGCTGTTGTGGGACTCTAGGCTTATTCATGACAACGTCCCGCCAGTGGTCAAGAGGCCAAATGCCGATAGATGGCGCTTCGTGGTCTTCGTTTCCATGACACCTGCCATCTGGGCAGCCCCAGGGGACATTGCGCTGAAGCGGAAGGCCTACAATGAACTGTCGATGACCACTCACTGGTCATCGCAATCTCTCGAAATTGTTGAAAGTGTAAGAGAACCGTCGCACAGTGGTCAGCCTATGTACTGCATCGATGCTATGCCGGAAGTGGCTAAAACAGAGGAAGCGATGCGATTGGCTGGAGTTTTGGACTATGATTTTAAAAATGGCCAATCAAATGGTCCCAAATTAAAACCCGTCTGGAACCCGCCCCGTGGTTAAGGATTGGTTGTAGTATGCATGTCGCGAGATAAAAGAGTTGGAAATTAATGGTAAGAATACAAAAATCCTGGATGTAACTTAAGATCCTCTTCAAAACTATCAACATTGGAAATAAGTAATTTTACAATGAACAGAACACGCTAATGTTGTTCCTGAGAAACTCTTTATATTCAGGGGAAGTCAGATTCTCACATAAATGATGGTAAATGAGTGAGGGAAGGTTTGACGCCATAATTAGAAATAAAACAGATATATTTTTTTAGGAACGACGTAACTGGGCAACAGCCAGGTCACCCAGCAACCCTTCAGAACACAACACACACAGCGTGTACAACCAATCCCCATTCCACTTAAAACAATAGATTCCATTTTTCCACAATTTCCGAACAATCCAAATATGACCCTATGTTGACATTCACAAAATCCAAAGCAAGAACTCACAAAAAACTATTCCGTCAAATGAAAGACATATTTCTTTGTTTAGCTATCTCGGGTCATGTCTGTTGAGTGATCGTATGTTCTAAAATTTTGAAACTGGGCTTGGTTGTGTCGACTCCCAGAAACACGCTCTGTCATTACCATTCCACATTCTTACTCATGCAATATTCTCAATAAAATATAATTATCAAATTATTTCTATTGTTGTTTTATTATTTACTTTGTATTATGGGATTTTACCGTGTTACCAACTATGCGATTTTGAAAACGGGGTTCATGTTAAGAATCCACCATAGTCGGGTACTTGGGTTTCAGTGAAGCGATGATTGCTAACTACCTGTATCAATTCCGGCCTTAATCCAACGAGGATTCCTTACTATTTTGACATGTCATGATATAAGTGAGTGAGTTGGGTTTAACGCCGCTTTTAACAGTATTACAGTTATATCGCGGCGTGTCAGCTTAATGTGGGAGGAACGCCCGAAGTGATGCAGGTCTCAGACGTTTACCACTTCGGTGAAACGCACGAGCATGGGGATGGTGCTGACAAACCTAGAAACATGATCGGAGCGAACCGGGATTCGAACCGACAATCAAAGGTTTCTGGCGAGCCCAAGGGACGCAACTCTGCACAGGGTATCGCGGCGCCTTACACGTGCCCCCGCCGCTGTCTGCCATGACATGAGAAACCATTAAACTTGTTCCACTTTAACATAATCAAAGACGATAAAATCCCTTCCGTAATCTTGAGAAATGTCTGATAAAAGCAGAGTCCGACTATATCGTAAGCTTGTGTTTATGAATTACTATGAAACACTATCCTGAATACACAATGGGATGGTCACTTGGCTACAAACCAGTGGTATGTCTGGTCACTCACTCACTTACATTGAGTGAGTGAGTGAGTGAGTATGGTTTTACGCCGCTTTTAGCAATATTCCAGCAATATCACGGCCCAGAAATGGGCTTCACACATTGTACCCATGTCGGGAATCGAACCCGGGTCTTCGGCGTGACGAGCGAACGCTTTAACCACAAGGCTACCCGACCGCACCCAATGGCTTTAAGAGGGGTACACAAATTACGATTGACTATCCGGCGAAACAGCTTCCACTGGGTGTAAGATTACCTCTGAATAATATATGAATGGATCACTGAAAATCAGTGATGAAACAGGGTGTTCGCGAAAACAAATCCTCACAAATGGACCCTCTATTATTACAATTTAGCTTTAAAACCAATACGGCTGGCAGTGTAGATCACGTACGTTGTGTACCTGTTTGATAAGTGTAGTTTGGCACGGTTCCCATAGCCGAAAGCTATGAATACACAATGCCTTTTAGAAAACGGTCAAATTTCTCATTCATTCAAACTTTCGTGTTCACAGTTATTGGAGCCGTGCCAAGTTACACTTGTCAGAGGGGTACACAAAGTACGCGATCTGGACTACCAGTCGTCGAGCTTACATGTTTTTGTGGTAGACTCGGTGGCTGAGATGGTTAGATCGCTGGTTTTGCTTGTGATTAAGCGCCACACTCTGAGAGTTTGGGTTCGAATCCCGAAAAAGTACAACTCGTACTTTACTAAAAACATGTAATCCTAAATATAACATTTGCTCATAAGTTGTTTGATCAAGGTTGCAACATTCAAGGCCTCAGTAAAGCTTTCAAAACGTTTTATGGTAGACATGTGGAGGACATTTCCAAATTTGACGCATCAGTGACCAAAATGATGCCCGATGCAATTCCCTATTTTGACTTGTACCTTATGTTCCCATGGTTTTTTTAGGTGAACAATTGACTTGCCTTTGCATGTGTTTGTGACGGGTGCCACCGGTGGGGCAAGACACGCTCACCTTTTCGGCGAACACCTGGTACCATTACTATATGATTGTGATTCATAAACACATGCTCGGAATTGTACAAACGACTCTGCTCTATGCAGAGATTTCTATTGGATATGGAAGGGGTAAAAAAAAATTTGTCGTTTTTTCTCCATGTTATATGCTGTGTACATGGCGTTGATAACAATTAAGTACAAGTAATTTCCCAACTCTGAGGTCACATAAACGCGTCAGGCTAAACACATTTTTTACTACACTACATGTGTTTTTCACAGTATAACCTTGATGTTACACCTTGTAATGTACACCAGTCGATGAACAAACTGCAAACAGACACTCGGTGCAACGGATGCTCACACTATTGACCACTGGTTTGTGAGTGTTGGCGTCAGTTGTATATAGAACTGTAGACTGTTTGGCTTCAAGAATATCATCATGTACTCGCACTGTCTTTCGAAGAGTGAAGGATGGTGGGTAGCTTAGTGGTCACACTGTTCGCTCCTCTCGCCGCAGACCCGGGTTCGATTCACATGGGTACAATGTGTGAAGCAAATTTCTGGTGTCTGGTGTGATACTGCTGGAATATTGCTAAAAGCGGCGCAAAACCATACTCACTCACTCACTCACTCACTCACTCATGGTTGTACATACCACTGGTTTGTAGCCAAGTGACCGTCCCACGCCATCGGGAAACGCTGACAAACAATACACCATTTGACAAATAGGGTCCACCCGATCTTCATTGTCAGCATACTAAGAACCCATTCGGCCCCAGAATCTCAACAGTGTGTGACTCAGACTATAAATTCAAAGGTTTAGCTTCTAACGAACGACCGTGCAATCAAAAACGAAATCTATCTTTGTGTGAGGAACACTCTTCTTCTAATTCAAATTCCGATATATAAAAAGGATAGCTTCTAACGTACATTTTTATTCAAGCCATGCCATGTCACAATAGGTCACTGGTCTTTCAACGCCGTCTTGATTACTGATCAGGTTCGTCTGATTGTTGTAGATGGATGGACAGGGGTAGTTGATATGGCCATATCTGACAAGAAAGTCAAAGTCGAGAGATGCAAATAGAGTTGTTTGTTTGTTTGTTTGTTTGTTTGTCTGTTTGCTGACATCGCCGCACTCAACAGTTTTGCAGTTATGTGTTGGCGTCACGTGTATAATGGAGTCTGGACCAGACAAACCAGTGATTTCTATTTTGAGAACAGAGCCCTATTAAACGATCCATTTAGTCGCCTCGACAAGCATAAGGTGTTTGGGATGGATTCTTACGATGAATCCCCATCTCAGCCTTGTATGTTTTGACTCGCCTGTCAAAGTAGCAGTATCTTAAACACACAGCATATGGTTAAAAAACTGTGGTTGTTGAGCTTGTCCCGTTTGCAAATCAGGGCTACGCTGTGATGATGACATGGTTTTGGTATAAATGTGTTTTTTTGTTTGTTTGTTTGTTTGTCTGTCTGTCTGTTTGTTTGTTCGTTTCTTGTTGAATGCTGCATAATACTCCAGCTATTATCGAGTATGGACCAGACAATCCAGTGATTGACATCATGAGCATCGTTCCACGCAATTGGGATACGATGACATGCATCAACCATTTAGCGATCATGACCACCAGAACCCGTTGGTCGCCTCTTACGACAAGCGGGGGCACGGGTGGCCAAGTCGTCTAAGGCGCCGCGATTCGCTGTGCAGAGATGCGTCCCTTGGGCACGCAAGAAACCTATGATTGTGGGTTCGAATCCCGGTTCGCCCAGATTATGTTTCTAGGTTTGTCAGCACCATGCTCGTGCTCGTGGGTTTCACCGAAGTGGTAAATGTCTGAGACCTGCATCACTTCGGGCTTACCTCCCACATTAAGCTGACACGCCGTGATACAACTGGAATACTGTTAAAAGCGGCGTTAAACCCAACTCACTCACTCACTTACGACAAGCACAGTCGCCGTTTACGGAAAGCATGGGTTGCTGAAGACCTACCCCGCGTCTTCACGGGGTTTTTGGTATAGAATACAGATTATACCACCGATATAACAGTGTCTCACTAATAGCACGGCGTGCCATCTTGATATGGGAGGAAAGCCCGAAGTGATGCAGGTCTTAGACGTTTATGACACGCTTTGATAAAACCACGAGCATCGCTGATGTGTTCGCAAGCCACGATCATAGGCTTCTGGCACGCCTAAGGGGCGCAACTCTGAGCAATTGCGGCGCCTTAAGCATACCATGTGTTCCCATATCGCTCGAGCATATAAGTGAGTGAGTGAGTGAGTGAGTGTGGTTTTACGCCGCTTTTAGCAATATTCCAGCAATATCACGGCGGGGGACACCAGAAATGGGCATCACACATTGTACCCATGTCGGGAATCGAACCCGGGTCTTCGGCGTGACGAGCTAACGCTTTAACCACTAGGCTACCCGACCGCCGCTCGAGCATATAAAAAAGTAACTGTTGCTGCCCACAAGAACATCGACACCTTCTTTTCTCGATCTGATTACTCTTTGCCAACTTCAGTTAACGACCTTCTCTTGTACTGTAACCTATCTGTCGTAATGTAGTTATAATGTTAATATAAAACACATCTTATGATCCATTTCAAATTGATATTTTTCAGGAATATTGAAACGCATTATTGTTTTACTGTTACTAAACATGATATCAATATCACTTTAAAAAGTTAACGTTACTTGGTTAACGCCTTAGAATGCTTCACTTTGGGATTTCTTCCTACATCTAACTTACACAATGTGATAGAGCAGTTCAAAGCGGTGTTACACCTTACTCACTCGCTCACTCACTCACTCACTCACTCACGCACTCGTAGAATTGGTCTTCAGCAACCCATGCTTAACGTAAAAGGCGACGATGCTTGTCGTAAGAGGCGACTAACGGGATCGGGTGGTCAATTTCGCGGATCAATGCTCATGATTTCCGATACAAGTTTCCCCCCCCAACACACACGCATCCTCCCTCCCCAATCTTTCAGTACATCCTTTGAGGGTAGATTAGGTCTTCAGCAACATACTTGCCGTAAAAGGGGACTATGCTTGTCGCAAGAGGCGACTAACGGGATCGGATGGTCAGGCTCGCTGACTTGGTTGATGTATGTCATCGATCCCAATTACGTGGATCGATGCTCATGATGTCAATCAATGGATTGTCTGGTCCAGACTTGATTATTTACAGACCGCCGTCATATAGCTGGGATATTGCTGAGTGCGGCATTAAACAACAAATAAACAAAAAAAACACTCACTCACCCGTTCACTTATCCCCCCGACTCAATCACTCACTCACTCACTCACTCACTAACCCCCCGTACTCACTCACTCACTTATACCCCCACATTCACTCACTCACTCACTCACTCATCTCCAGACTCACTCACTCACTCACTCATCCCCCGACTCACTCACTCATTCGTTCACTCACTCACTCATCTCCATACCTGCTCTCTCACTCACTCACTCATTCAATCACTCACTCACTCATCCCCCAGACTCACTCACTCACTCACTCATCCCACCAGACCCACTCACTCACTCACTCGTTCACGCACTCACTCATCCCCACACCTGCTCTCTCACTCACTCATTCAATCACTCCCTCACTCATCCCCAGACTCACTCACTCACCCAGACCAACTCTTTCACTCACTCACTCATCCCCCCATACTAACTCACTCACTCACTCACCACCAGACCCACTCACTCACCTCTGCACCTGACTGCAATCAGGTAATCAAGGTACCGAATGAGGTTGTGGTAATCGTGCACGTTCAGCATGTGTTCTGCATCCGGGTCAGAGGCTAGTATCATCTGCTCGTTTAGGTCAATCTCGGTGCCGATTCCAACAACAAATACGGTGACGTTGTCATGATGAAGGTCCATGGCAGTGGAGAACGTTTCAAATTTCTTGTGAGAACCGCCATCGGTGAAGATGATTGCCACCTGAAACGTGAAATCCATGCATATTCAGTGACATTTTAAGGGGAAATTCCACCTCAAGAGGAGAATGCAATCGAAATCCTCTCTATGTTTACGGGAAACTACGGTTATAACGAACTCAAAGGGGTCCCTAATTTTAGTTTGTTATAACCGTAGTTCGATATAAGCATATATACAACATAGACAATAAATGGCCGGGACCAAACAATATGTTCGTTATAAGCGTGTTCCTTATAAACGCACATATATAAAGTATTGGTGCAGTACTTTTCAGTGCTTGAAAGAAGATATGTGAAAGTGATTTAATATGAGGTTTTATGCAGCAGAAAATCGTGAAGCTAATTGGGCTTAAAAGTACGAATATTTCCTCTTCTTCGGGGTCTGGCAATACATGTATATAGAGGTAATATACTGTACATTATGCTGCAGCCTTTTACTCAGAATTTGTATTTCGCGTTAAAGGCTCTATAAGCGCAAGATTTGCATGATGGGTTCCACCATCACAATCACCAATCCCAATAACGTTAACTACGGTTATAACGAACTCAAAGGGACCACTGATTTCAGTTCGATATAAACGTAGTTCGTTATGGCCATATATACCTGTATGAAGAGCAAATGGTCGGGGCCAGAAATATGTTAGTTATATCCGTCAGTTCGTTATAAACGTAGTTTACCGTATTATCCTCGTTATAAACTTTCCTTCTGTTCGGAATCGTAAAGGTAAACTTTTTTTTAAATATAGATTAACTCTGGCTCGTTTAAGATGTAGTTCACACCAACTAAAAAAAGAAACAGGAAGATATATTCGGCATATCTATTCGGATGAGTTTCAGTTTGTTTTATATTTTACAATCCGTTAAATATGTCAGCCACAAGAAATAAGACACAGATGGGAGCCACTAGTGCCCAGATTGCTAGAACTTGTGGTTGTCCCGTGTTGCTGTAACTACCTGATGCAACGTTACAAACAGACCGGGCAGATATCAGACATGCCAAAACAGGCAGACCCAGGGTAACTACGCCCAATGAAGACCGGCACTTGCGTACTATGCATCTCTGGAATCGATTCCTGACAGTGACGTCATCAAGAACGAATGCCTGAAGGCATGTGGTTAGTCGACAAACAGTGACCATGCGACTCACATCTTCCCGATTGAAAAGCGTCCACTAGCCTTTTTTTCAAAGTCTTGGGATGGGAGAGTGAGTATGGTTTTACGCCTCTTTTAACAATATTCCAGTAATTTCACGACGGGGGACACCAGAAATAGGTTTTACACATTTTACCCATGCGGGGAATTGAATCCGGGTCTTCAGCGTGACGAGCAAATACTTTACCCACTAGGCTACCCCACCGCCCCCCAAGGAATTAGGGCTTACAGAGAACAGTTATTGACAGCGCAATATCGTCGTCAGATATTGAGATGGGCCCGGACTGTACGTCGTTGTCCGCGACGTGACAGGCAGAGGGTCGTCTTCTCTGATGAAAGCTGGTTCTGTCAGTTCGGAGCTGATGGAAGACAACGTGTTTACCGCCGAATGGGAGAACGAACGACGGCATGTTGCGTTTAGAAGGTCGTGCCGTATGGTGTAGGGAGGAATGTGTAAACAGGGGAGAACACCACTGGTTACCGTTAAAGGAAATTTGGCAGCTCAGCGTTACATGGAAGACATTCTTCGTCCTACTATTTCTACAACCGCTGCCACGTTGTAACCTTTATCACAATGACAACGCCAGACCCCATACAGCCGGAATCGTACAGAACTTCCTTGCAGCCAACAACGTCAACGTGTTGCCGTGATTTGCACGCTTCCCAGCCATGTCCCCAATAAACCTCCGCTGGGATGTCATGGGTCGTCATGGTCGACAGCGACAACATCCTCCAGCCAACCGACCAGAACTGATCCAGGCCCTCCAAGAAGAATGGCGACGTATCCCACGTGACATCATCAGACGGTTGACTTTTTCTGTTTGCCGGAGAGTTTGTACTTGTCATTTAGCAGAGGGTGGTCATACACGCTATTAATGTGACGTTTCAATGATTATACATGTAAGAGACCTTTGCCATATACGTTGAAAGCTTCTTGTTGCTACCCCACCTCAATTCGGACGACTGTCATGCCAGTATCGGAGACTCTATGACTGTCATTTTAAATGTTGATTTCGTTGGTATTTAGATATTCTCAATACATTTTACTGCATACATCGTTTGTGGTTTTTAAACTAGAGTGACCGCCTCCGTGGTCTAGTGGTAGAGCGTCCGCCCGGAGAGCGGAAGGTCCGGGGTTCGATCCCCGACCGCGTCATACCAAAATACGTTAAAAGATGGTAGTTGTTGATACCCTGTCTAGCGCTCGGCATTAAGGGGCTAAAACAAGGGCTGGTCGGCTCGGAGTCAGTATACTGTGTCTGAGAGGGGTATTCATGTTAAACTGCGGCATGGTATCTCAGTGTGCTAGCACTATAAATCGGCATCAGTCCTGACTAGTACAAGCAGCCACACAAACACACACGCGTACATGCACGTCGCTATATAAGTGCAATAATCTTGGACGCGACGTTTAACGCCATTTCACCTCACCTCACCTTAAACTAGTGTGTTTTTAAGGTAAAGTTTTATTTGACTGTCATTTTGTAAAAAAATATAGTCAGGCTCATAGTTTTTTATAAAAAAATATCTGGTTTTGGATAGAAATCTTGCAATGATTTGGAGACGATGTAAATTCAACATACTATGTTTTTTTCCGCGCTCTCCAATATGCCCTGTTTTCGAGGCCCCGGTAAAGATTTCAAAACGGTTTATGGTAGACATGTGGAGGACTTTGCTTAATGTGACACATCAGTGACAAAAAATATGAAAACCTTTCCTAACCCGGATCTTCACGGGTCCCATGTTTTAGTATGGGAGTTACGACGTTAAGGCGACCTTGTTCAAGTAGACCCTAAATGTAGACTTACTACAGTTGTGCGATTAAGTGTTCTTGTACAACGACACCCAGGGCCCCTTTCCAAAAGGGATCTTAGCTCTAAGGTAACTCCCATACTTTAACATAGCCTTACAATAGTTGCTGAGATCGCTTTATGGAACGGGCCATGTGCAGTCTCCCCGCTGTGATTTCAGAAAACGAGATCGGGTTTACTCATTGATTTGTGATGGAATCTCAATAATGATGATCACGTTACATTAGAATTCTTCGCACCATGAGACATAATCTATCATCCATTGTGACCACCTAATTCTCATTTTAGTTGGCGTTTACAACAAGAGTAAGGTGATGGAACCCATTATGCCCCTTGGGTCGGTGGGCGAGTAAACGTTCTTACTACAACAGTTGGCCATCCTTCATAAGGGCCCGTGAGGGGGCACGGGGGGCCCAGTCGTCTAAGGCGCCGCGATTCGGTGTGCAGAGTTGCGTCCCTTGGGCACGCCAGAAACCTATGATTGTGGGTTCGAATCCCGGTTCGCCCCAATTATGTTTCTAGGTTTGTCAGCACCATACCCGTGCTCGTGGGTTTTACCGAAGTGGTAAACGTCTAAGACCTGCATCACTTTCCTCCCACATTAAGCTGACACGCCGCGATATAACTGGAATACTGTTAAAAGCGGCGTTAAACCCAACTCACTCACTCACTCAGGGCCCTTGAAGATCCAGGTTAGTTCTTCAGCAATCCATGCTTGTCCTAAGAGGCGATTAACCGGATCGGGTGGTCAGGCACACTGACTTGGTTGAAGTCATCGTATCCCAATTGCGTGGATCGATGCTCATGATATCAATCACTGGATTGTCTGGTCCAGACTCGATTATTTACAGACCGCCGCCGTATTGCTGGAATATTGCGTAAAACAAAAACAAACAAACAAAACTTAACTCTAAGGGTATCGTAACTCCCATACTTAAACATGGGCCTACGACAGTCATAGCGCTAGATCGCTTTGTACAATGGCACCCTGGTCGCACTTGCACAAAGCGATCTTAGCGCTAATACTATCGTAAGCCTATGTCAAGGTATGGGGGTTAGGATCATGTAATGTTTTTTTACCTTCATGGCGTCCTGTCTCCGTTCATGACGAAACAAATGTAAAGTTCGGTCCAAGGCAAGATTAGTAAAAGTGTCGCCCTCCACGCGGACACCCCCTAACTTGGCATCAATTTCGCTCAACAGATCGGCTTTGCTAAGCGAGTTTCCAAGCTGGATGAGCGGCTTCTGTTCGTTGTTAAAGATCATCAATCCAATTCTTGTGGTGTCTTGGGACACGTTGAAGTGGTCCACCAACTTGTGGGTAAACTCCGCCATCTTCTTCCAGTCAGGAATGGTGATGCTGCCAGAGTGGTCCAGGATCAATATAATGTCTTCTTTGGCTCCACAACCTTGGCACAAAGACATTCAGACAAAGAGTGAGTGAGTGAGTTGGGTTTAACGCCGCTTTTAACAGTATTCCAGTCATATCACGGCGTGTCAGATTAATGACTCTGGAGTCATATGTGCCGAGGCTCAATTGACTCTGGAGTCATATGTGCCGAGGCTCAATTGACTCTGGAGTCATATGGGCCGAGGCTAAAATGACTCTGGAGTCATATGGGCCGAGGCACAATTGACTCTGGAGTCATATGGGCCGAGGTTCAATTGACTCTGGAGTCATATGGGCCTAGGCTCAATTGACTCTGAAGTCATATGGACCTAGGCTCAATTGACTCTGGAGTCATATGGGCCGAGGCTCAATTGACTCTGGAGTCATATGGGCCTAGGCTCAATTGACTCTGGAGTCATATGGGCCTAGGCTCAATTGACTCTGGAGACATATGGGTCGAGGCTCAATTGACTCTGGAGTCATATGGGCCGAGGCTCAATCGACTCTGGAGTCATATGGGCCTAGGCTCAATCGACTCTGGAGTCATATGGGCCTAGGCTCAATCGACTCTGGAGTCATATGGGCCTAGGCTCAAAAGACTCTGGAGTCATATGGGCCTAGGCTCAATTGACTCTGGAGTCATATGGGCCTAGGCTCAATTGACTCTGGAGTCATATGGGCCGAGGCTCAAAAGACTCTGGAGTTATATGGGCCTAGGCCCAATTGACTCTGGAGTCATATGGGCCTAGGCTCAATTGACCCTGGAGTCATATGGGCCTAGGCTCAATTGACTCTGGAGACATATGGGGCTAGGCTCACATGACTCCCCTAGCCAGGCTCAAAACACTCCCTCTAGGTTCAGCCAACTCCCCTAATGGGCCCAAATGACCCCCCTCGTTTTGAATTAAAATGATTACAGAAAAGATCAAATATCACTTGTATTTTACAGGTTTTCTACCCCTCTTCCTCATTTTCTATTCTGAAATGTCAGGTTAAGAACGATCCCCAATATTGTGTGTCGGATGTTTTAGTACCAGTTATTTTATTACAGTTTTATATTTAACTTTATTTGGAAAAACTCAAAGTGCCTCTCTTAAATCACTATACTTTTCTTAACCTATGATTTATTTTCAGAATACTCCCTGTGTCCTCCATCCAATTCTTGAGTATATGGCTCAAACTACTCCCCCTATTCTATAACCGATTCTTGAGTATCAGGCTCAAACTACTCCCCCTATTCTATATCCGATTCTTGAGTTTCAGGCTCAAACTACACCCCCTGGTCTATATCCGATTCTTGAGTATCAGGCTTAAACTACTCCCCCTATTCTATGTCCGATTCTTGAGTATCAGGCTCAAACTACTCCCCCTATTCTATAACCGATTCTTGAGTATCAGGCTCAAACTACTCCCCCTATTCTATAACCGATTCTTGAGTATCAGGCTCAAACTACTCCCCCTATTCTATATCCGATTCTTGAGTATCAGGCTCAAACTACACCCCCTGGTCTATATCCGATTCTTGAGTATCAGGCTTAAACTACTCCCCCTATTCTATGTCCGATTCTTGAGTATCAGGCTTAAACTACTCCCCCTATTCTATATCCGATTCTTGAGTATCAGGCTCAAACTACACCCCCTGGTCTATATCCGATTCTTGAGTATCAGGCTTAAACTACACCCCCTATTCTATGTCCGATTCTTGAGTATCAGGCTTAAACTACTCCCCCTATTCTATAACCGATTCTTGAGTATCAGGCTCAAACTACTCCCCCTGTTCTATATCCGATTCTTGAGTATCAGGCTTAAACTACTCCCCCTATTCTATATCCGATTCTTGAGTATCAGGCTTAAACTACTCCCCCTATTCTATAACCGATTCTTGAGTATCAGGCTCAAACTACACCCCCTGGTCTATATCCGATTCTTGAGTATCAGGCTTAAACTACTCCCCCTATTCTATATCCGATTCTTGAGTATCAGGCTTAAACTACACCCCCTATTCTATATCCGATTCTTGAGTATCAGGCTTAAACTACTCCCCCTATTCTATGTCCGATTCGTGAGTATCAGGCTCAAACTACACCCCATATTCTGTATCCGATTCGTTGATAACAGGCTCAAACTACTCCCCCTGTTCTATATCCGATTCTTGAGTATCAGGCTCAAACTACTCCCGCTATTCTATATCCGATTCTTGAGAATCAGGCTCAAACTACTCCCCCTGTTCTATATCCGATTCTTGAGTATCAGGCTCAAACTACACCCCCTATTCTATGTCCGATTCTTGAGTATCAGGCTCAAACTACACCCCCTCTTCTATATCCGATTCTTGAGTATCAGGCTCATCTACTCCCCCTGTTCTATATCCGATTCGTTGATAACAGGTTCAAACTACTCCCCCTGTTTTATTTCCGATTCTTGAGTATCAGGCTCAAACTCCACCCCCTGTTCTATATCCGATTCTTGAGTATGAGGCTCAAACTACTCCCCGTGTTCTATATCCGATTCTTGAGTATCAGGCTCATCTACTCCCCCTGTTCTATATCCGATTCGTTGATAACAGGTTCAAACTACTCCCCCTGTTTTATTTCCGATTCTTGAGTATCAGGCTCAAACTACTCCCCCTGTTCTTTATCCGATTCTTGAGTATCAGGCTCAAACTACTCCCCCTATTCTATATCCGATTCTTGACTATCAGGCTCAAACTACTCCCCCTGTTCTTTATCCGATTCTTGAGTATCAGGCTCAAACTACTCCCCCTGTTCTATATCCGATTCTTGAGTATCAGGCTCAAACTACTCCCCCTGTTCTTTATCCGATTCTTGACTATCAGGCTCAAACTACTCCCCCTGTTCTATATCCAATTCTTGAGTATCAGGCTTAAACTACACCCCCTATTCTATTTCCGATTCTTGAGTATCAGGCTCAAGAATTTGTATTCTTCAAAACAAATGGGGGTGTCATTTGAGCCTGGGGAGTTATCCGAGTCTACGACGGGGAAGTCGTTTAGGCCTAAGGGGAGTCATCTGAGCCTAGGCTCAAATAACTCTAGATTCGTCTGAGCCTGGGGAGTGATTTGAGCCTCCTGCATGTACCCGGTCAACACATGCATCCGTTGAAACACATCAAACACATTGTTAATCAAACATCAGTCAGATTTTTAACAAAGCAGTTATGCCCCTTGGCATATTATAATGCAAGCTCCTCACAGCGATAGTACGTTCCCGGAGCTCTCTATACTATCGCTGCCACCAGTCAAAACTCCCCACTGTGAATAGGTGGCCACAACCATGCTTGGAGTTGAACTCGCAACCGAATGACCGTTATGTTTACAAACAAGTGACGACTGTCGTGACGCCGAATACACTTATCGCTGCTAAATTACTTTCTTCGTTTGTCAATTTGAATTTCTGTTTCATTAAAACTATCGTGTTATTGATATAGTAAGAATGTAAGGGAGAAGTTGGTTGATTTTCCGTTAGTCTGCAATCTCGAACCAATCTGATTATCAAAACAACAAAGTAAATTCATCTGGAAAACATGGTCAGTCGTAAACCTTTTCAAATTGAAATATGATGGCATTCCCAAAGACATAAACCAAAGTATAAACGTTACTACATATGGGGTTGGAGGGCAAATTTCAAGATTCTTGTAATGGCCGCGCCCACACTGGTGGCAGCGATGTTACCGAGAGTGTAACGAAGGTGTCACGCGCTGGGAAGGAGCTTGATTATAATGAGTAAACTTAAATTTGGAATTGAAAAGAAATGAAATATGAATTAATACTTGCCAAAAACGAAATATGATTAACATTTTAATACTTTGCTAACAAAACAAAACGAAATATGATTTTGAACTTTGAAAATAATAACTCAATATTTTGTACCCTTACAAGACTGGTAAGTCATCACCACGTATATAGACTACTTAAAAGAAGTCTAATAATATATGAAAGAATCAAGTGTTCTTTAACTTCTTTTGAGTAGTATGGTCTTTATAGACTTTATAGACTTTACTCGTGCACGACCGACTGTTTACCGAGATAGTTGAGAAGCTTGGGTCCGGCGCATGGATCTGGAGCCACGGTTGGAGTGTGTCCTGGAATCAACATTATTATTTCAATAAGTTCACCTCAAATTTTACCAAAACATAATTATTCAAAGGATGTTTTGTTTGTTTGTTTGTTGTTTAACGCCGCACTCAGCAAATATTTCAGCTTTATGACGGCGGTCTGTAAATAATCGATTCTGGACCAGACAATCCATTGATTGACATCATGAGCATTGATCCACGTAATTGGGATCGATGACATACATGTACCAAGTCAGCGAGCCTGACCACCCGATCCCGTTAGTCGCCTATTACGACAAGCATAGTCCCCTTTTACGGCAAGTATGTTGCTGAAGACCTAATCTACCCTCAAAGGATGTACTGAAAGATTTGGGAGGAAGGATACGGGTGTGTGAGTGTGTTGCGTGTGTGTGTGTGTGTGTGTGGGGGGGGGGGGGGGGGGGGGGGGGGGAGGGTATATGGTTAAAACAAGGACTGGTCGGCTCGAAGTCAGTATACTGTGTCTGAGTGGGGTATTTATGTTAAACTGCGGCATGGTATCTCAGGGGGCTAGCACTATAAATTGGCATCAGTCCGGACTAGTACAAGCAGCAACACACACCTGCATACACGTCGCTATATAAGTGCAATAATCTTGGACGCGACGTTACACCCCATTTCACCTCGACTCACCAGAAGGTGGCAGAGTTTCGAATCCCACTAGCACCACTTTTCAACCAGTGAAATTGCTATGAATACTTCATTTCGTTTCACAAAGAGTGCATACCCTACCCGTGTGAAGCCCATTTCTGGTGTCCCCCGCCGTGATATTGCTGGAATATTGCTAAAAGCGGCGTAAAACCATACTCAATCACTCACTGACTCTTTCAAAATGGCGTCGTGACCTTGCAAAGCGCCAATCGCTTCCCAAATTCCCAAATTTTGTGAGAATTCGTTCATATGACGTCACGTTGTTTGGGGCCTTTTCGCGAGAAAGAATGAAACAATTAGAACGAACTACCCGATCAGTAAAATTTGTTAAATGTATATCCATGATCTAATGTGTAATATTTTGGTAAATGCGCCTTAACGTTTACACACTCACTTACCCCAACAACGACTCACGAAAATATCCTCCAGCGAATACCCGAGATCTTCTACAGAATCCACCGTGATCAGGTGAGTCTGATGTGGACTTGTCACCACTTTCTCAAGGTCACTGGATAAACCTGTAAAATCCCCAATTCCAATAAAGATGATTTCTACTCCTCTGTCCTTTAATAGTTTTGCTTCTGCTATTGTTATACCCATGTGGTATGCGTTGCTTTCAGACAATATCACCAGGTACTTCTTTGCGCCCGGTCTTTCGTGTCGTTTCGAAAACACCACTTGATTGACACGCATGAGTGCTTTCCCAAGTTTGGCGTTACCTGCAGCGGTTCCATATTTCCGTTCTGCGTAAGCCATGTGTGCGTTGATGTAATCCCGGTCATCGCCTCTATGTAGATTAATAATGTCCCTGGATTGTTCTCCATAGTACGTATACCCCATCCGGGTCTTATTTGGACCAATATCTAGGGTGGCGGCAAACACCCGGGCAAACATCTCAAAGTGGTGCGCATCCTCATCCGTGACAGCGTGCGAATCATCCACGAGGAGGACAACATCATTCATGCCACTGCATCCTTTGAACAGATAATAAGTCTTACCATTGGATATTGTGATGGGCGGTCATCTATGGAATCTTAGAAGGGCCACTATCGCGACAATGTCCCTTCTACGATTCCATAGTTGGCCGTTTGTGTATCGGTGATCGGAGGGTGTACGATGGGGTTGTGGTAGGGGTGTTAATGTTTGGGAGATTTATCTTATAAAATTATATGTCCCAAACTAAAGGACAAAATGGTCTTAGTTTTCAACCACAGGACATTCTGGCTGTGTAATACTTATGTTGTAAAGGGTTAACTCGTCTTTCACAGAAAAAATGCACATTCCTGCACATAGATTGCACTGGCGTTAAACGGAGCCCAACAAACGAATATAAACTTACGTTTAGATGCCGTAGCCGTAAAAATGCAACCTTCACATCAACATCCCACCATAATTTAACTCTGAAACGTCTCACAGGTAGAACATGATCTTCGAATGTGCTCTTAGTATCAGCTCTTGGTGTCTGCTCTTAGTATGTGCTGTTTGTGTGAACCCTTAGTATATGTTCCTTGTACATACTCTTAGTATATGCTTATACTGATTGGTTTTGGTATCTGTGTTTAGTGTATGCTCTGAGTAAACATGTATCTCCTCAGTGCATGCTCTTAGTATATGTTCCAGGCGGATGCTCTTAGCATTTAATCTTTCTTTATGTTCTTGGTTTATACACTTGTTATGTGGTCCTAGTGAATCTCTTAGTATTTAATCTTACTGTATGCTCTTGGTATATACACTTGTTATGTGGTCCTAGTGAATCTCTTAGTATTTAATCTTACTGTATGCTCTTGGTATATACACTTGTTATGTGGTCCTAGTGAATCTCTTAGTATTTAATCTCACTGTATGCTCTTGGTATATACTCTTATTATATGGTCCAAGTCGATGCCCTTAGTATTTAATCTTAATGTATGCTCTTGGTATATTCACTTATCATATGGTCCTAGTGGATGCTCTTAGTGTTTGCTCTTCGTATATATATTTATATGTTCCTAGTTGTTAGTATCTGTTCTTAGTGTATGCCCTCATATATGTATACTTAGTTTCCGTTCTTAGTTTATGCTCTTGATATCTACTCTTAGACACTTAGTATATGACCTTAATATCTACTCTTAGACACTTAGTTTATGCTCTGAGTATCTACTCTTAGACACTTAGTATATGCTCTTAGTATCTACTCTTAGACACTTAGTATATGCTCTTAGTATCTACTCTTAGACACTTAGTATATGCTCTTAGTATCTACTCGTAGACACTTAGTATATGCTCTGAGTATCTTCTCTTAGACACTTAGTATATGCTCTTAGTATCTACTCTTAGACACTTAGTATATGCTCTTAGTATCTACTCTTAGACACTTAGTATATGCTCTTAGTATCTACTCGTAGACACTTAGTATATGCTCTTAGTATCTACTCTTAGACACTAAGTATATGCTCTTAGTATCTACTCTTTGACACTTAGTATATGCTCTTAGTATCTACTCTTAGACACTTAGTATATGCTCTTAGTATCTACTCTCAGACACTTAGTATATGATCTTAGTATCTTCTCTTTAAATAAGTCAGTTGTATCTGTTCTCAGTGTATGTTCTTGGGATATGTTCTCAGTGTCTGCTTTTGGCGGATGCTCTTAGTGTATGTCCTTATTATCTGATCTTAGCGGGTGTTCTTAGTATATGGACTAAGTGTATGTACTTAGTATCTGTTCATAGTGCACACCGTTAGTAGGTGGCCGTAATATATACTGGTAGAGTAAGAGTATATTCTCTTAATGTATGCTCTTAGTACATTCAAAGTACTTGTTCTAAGTATTCGCTCTAAAATATGCTTTTGGTGTGTACACGTAGTACATGATCTTAGTATCTGCTCTTAACGTATATCATTAGCATATGCTCTTAGTATAATTCTCTCAATGTATGCTCTTTGTATATAATCTTAGTATATGTACATAGTTATTACTCTTAGCATACTGTCAGTGTATGAGGTATAATTATGCTATAAGTGTGTACCTTTAGTCTATCTTCTAAGTACATGCTTCTAATATATGCCCTTTGTATATGTTCTTAGTGTATGCTGTTAGTGTATGATCTAAGTGCCTGCTCTTAGCATAGGCTCATAAAGTATGTTCAATGTGTCTTCTTACCAATGGATGCAAGGACGTTGTTCAAGATCTTGGGGGGTTGTCTTGTGGCCATGGGTGGGAACGTGGGGCAGATGGATGACGGCAAAGGCGCTGCTGTAGTAGTAGATGTTGTAGTTGTAGTAGGAGAAGTGGGAGTTGTTGGCGCAGTAGTTGGTGTAGTAGTGGGCGTAGTAGTAGTTGGTATAGTAGTAGGCGTAGTAGTAGTTGGTGTAGTAGTAGTAGTAGTAGTAGTAGTTGTTGTTGTAGTCGGCGTAGTGGTAGTAGGTGTAGTAGTAGTAGTAGTAGTAGTAGTAGTAGTAGTAGTTGTTGTTGTTGTTGTTGTTGTTGTTGTTGCTGTTGTTGTTGTGGTCGGCGTATTAGTAATAATAGTTGGAGTTGTTACCGCTGGTGTTGGAGCTGCAATGATCAGATACATATCCTTGGTGAATATTAAACCATACCTCACCGAAACCCAGTCTCCTACATTAACAGTAAAGCTGTATTCCTAATATCGATTCTGATGGGTCATTCAGAGACCAGATTCAAAGGTTTCAAATTATAATAACAACTGATTAGAAGAGATGGTTTGATGGAAGCTTATTTTCTTTGGATTTTGTTTTGTTTTACTTAATGGGGACAACACATGTCTGTACCATATTCTGACCTACAACATTCATCTTCCCGGGGCAAGAGAGTTAACTGACTGTAAAAGTCCAGTTTCCACCCTGTCCGAACAAGGCTGGAATTACTGGACTCGATCATAGCGCCACCCTCACTATTACCAGTTACATGTGTATGTCCCTTCTAAGCCTCTACTATGGACCAATCAGATTCCACCTCTCGTATCACTTTCGTTTGCTTCCCACAAAATGGTGGCGCCCAGTCAGGACGATCTGATCAATAATCAAGATCTATATTGTGATAAAACGGGTCTTACATCGCGAAATGCATCAAATCACGTGAGATCTTGATTAAAAACATTCAGATAACATTCAACGTGTGACTACTAATGTGAGAGTGTGCTACACATGTACCGGACAAGAAAGAACCAGAAATAAAAACTCAAAGGTTTTCAATGCAGAGCTTCACATGTTACCACGAGATTAAGTGTTTGATGGTAGGCCTTGGCGTATCTGACTTATGGTGTTCAAAGCGGCACTAACCCAACTAGCTCACTCACCCACTGGCTAGTTATGGAACACGTTGCCTAGCCTGTGTGACATTCAATGTTGCCAATCACCCGACAAAATAATCGGTCGCATTTCGGTGGGCCCGAACACTTTGCACATTCTGGCAGTCAGTTTAAGAGTGCTGATATTATTCTGCCTAAACAATAAATTATCGTCTTATGGAATTCGTTAAAGGGATATTTTCATCGATTTTTTAAGTAATGACACATCATATTTTAAAATTTACTTTAAAAAAAATATTTTTATTTAAGAGAAAGAAGTCACTAAAGACAATCTGATTGTTCGTTCATTCCATGGAGCCGGCCATGTTTCGGTCTCGCGAGAAATTGTGAGGTCAGCGGCACACTACCTGATGTTTTCAAATCGAAGATCAATGGCGTTTGCCATTGATGTTTAGCTGATACTCTGCGTTTTGAACATGCCACCATGCCAAGGTTCGGGTGTTCCGAAAGATCCGACCGACGGGAATCATATTTCAAATTCCAAAGGCCTCTAAATATCCAGGAAAGAAGATGATCGGTGATCGGTGGCTTCATAACATTGGCAATGACTGGACGTCAACAACTTCCACATCTGACACAAGGTAGATGTTTGGGGCAAGGGTGACACAGGGTAGATGTTTGGGGCATAGGTGACACAAGGTCGATGGTTGGGGCAAGGGTGACACAGGGTAGATGTTTGGGGCAAGGGTGACACAAGGTAGATGTTTGGGGCAAGGGTGACACAAGGTCGATGGTTGGGGCAAGGGTGACACAGGGTAGATGTTTGGGGCAAGGGTGACACAAGGTAGATGTTTGGGGCATAGGTGACACAGGGTAGATGTTTGGGGCAAGGGTGACACAAGGTAGATGATTGGGGCAAGGGTGACACAAGGTAGATGATTGGGGCAAGGGTGACACAAGGTAGATGTTTGGGGCATAGGTGACACAAGGTAGATGTTTGGGGCAAGGGTGACACAAGGTAGATGTTTGGGGCAAGGGTGACACAAGGTAGATATTTGGGGCTAAGGGTGACACAAGGTAGATATTTGGGGCAAGGGTGACACAAGGTAGATGTTTGGGGCAAGGATGTCACAAGGTAGATGTTTGGGGCAAGGGTGACACAAGGTAGATATTTGGGGCAAGGGTGGCACAAGGTAGATGTTTGGGGCAAGGATGTCACAAGGTAGATGTTTGGGGCATAGGTGACACAGGGTAGATGTTTTGGGCAAGGGTGACACAGGGTAGATGTTTGGGGCAAGGGTGACACAAGGTAGATGTTTGGGGCAAGGGTGACACAGGGTAGATGTTTGGGGCAAGGGTGACACAAGGTAGATGTTTGGGGCAAGGATGTCAAAAGGTAGATGTTTGGGCTAAGGGTGTCACAAGGAAGATGTTTGGGGCAAGGATGTCACAAGGAAGATGTTTGGGGCAAGGGTGTCACAAGGTAGATGTTTGGGCTAAGGGTGTCACAAGGAAGATGTTTGGGGCAAGGATGTCACAAGGAAGATGTTTGGGGCAAGGATGTCACAAGGTAGATGTTTGGGGCATAGGTGACACAAGTTCAGGTTTCCTACTGCTCTGCTCACCTTTTTGTCTGTATCAGAAATTGATCACAACAAATTACTGTGATTTTATTGACAAATTAAATTGTTCCTGGAAATGTTTGACAAAGTAATAATGCTTCAGACTGTGAAAAGGAGTAAGCATATACTCCAAAACGTTGTGCTCATAATAAAGAAGTTGACATCCATAAGTTCTCTTCCTTATGTGTATTACTTCTAAATGCCTTTCAAAGACTTGAAAACAGAGATTGTCCCTTTGCACATGTCAGCGGATCCTAGGTATTCAAACTGATGGGGGGCCCAGTCGTCTAAGGCGCCGCGATTCGCTGTGCAGAAACCTATGATTGTGGATTCGAATCCCGGTTCGCCCCGATTATGTTTCTAGGTATGTCAGCACCATACCCGTGCTCGTAGGTTTCACCGAAGTGGTAACCGTCTGAGACCTGCATCACTTCGGGATTTCCTCCCACATTAAGCTGACACGCCGTGATATAACTGGAATACTGTTAAAAGCAGCGTTAAACCCAACTCACTCACTCACTCACTCAAACTGATGAGTGGTGCCTTGAGTGTAGCCACCCGACCCATCACGTGTTCCCTGCTCCAGCTGCTGATGGTGATAGTATGGCGTGTACTGATTATACTTACCACACCGACACATCGGGTCAGCATCACTGCTTCTCCAGCTATGCAGTCTACATCAGTAGAATCTTCAATCCGACTCTACACAGGACGAGCAAAGTCTTCATGCAACATTTGATTCGTTTTTTTGGCCAGCATTTCATACACGAATCAAATCTATAAGCATGTTCCTGATGTTGCTTCATTGATTAATTTAAAGTTGGTCAATCTCTTTAAAATCAGATCTTAGTTTTCGCCATCGCTGACCATAGATCTGAGGACATCCCATTACGGGTCACGTTAGACCGACCTTCCGCGAACTTTGACCGACTAATGAAATGACTGACAAGAAGTCGACATTAGCCAAGACAGTTTTCGCGAGCTTTACGACACCAGTTTCAAACTTGCGACTTCGAAACATATTTTGACACATTCTCGATTAAAAATATCAAAACTGAACAAAAGAACCTTCTGGAATTTCTAATAGATGGCCTTGGTTGTATGGATACAACCATAGCCCGTAACTGTCGTTCGGAATACCCCGTGTTAAATTTTCATGATCACTTTCATGATCTGGTCAGCGACGCTCTGATTGGTCGGATGAAAGGTCGTTTTGACGTGACCCGTAATGGCATGTCCTCAGATCCTTGTTTAGCGCTAGGATGATCTTTGATGTAGATCTGGTAAGCTTTATCGATTGAAGAAAACAAAATTTATGATGATGCTGGAATCACTAATGAAGATGCAAAACGTTAAAGCCAGACAAAGTAGATCTATACCGAAACGTCGCCCTTAGAGTAAATAAAGTAATTGTTATCCATAAATTATCGCAACTTTGTCATCCGTCAACTTCTTGTTTGTAATGCCTATCAAACAATATCAAGTTAAAGCCAAGTTAAATAATCAGCCTCAATTTTCTGCCGAAATATATTTCATTGGGTATAAAAGCCCAAACACTGATGAAAATCATATAATGGTTCACTGAAAATCAGCGATGACACCAGGTGTTGCCGAAAAAGGTAATCCTGTCCTAATATTCCGGTAGCAGAATGGTAATAAAAGTTCCCGTCTGTTGCCTAAAGCGGCACCAAGCAATACTGCTGTCATACAACAGCAGCATGTAAACAATCACATCTTGAAAAGACAATCCAGGGGTCAGTATGATGAGCAATGATCAACTAGTGTGGTACAACGTCACTCTGTCACCCATTAAAGTAAGGTGAGGTGAGGTGAAATTGGCACTTATATCGCGACGTGCATGCACGTGTGTGTGTGGCTGCTTGTACTAGTCCGGAGTGATGCCGATTTATAGTGCTAGCTCACTGAGATACCAACTGACTCCGAGCCAACCAGTCCTTGTCTTAGCCCCTTAATGCCGAGCGCCAGACAGGGTAACAACAAGTACCATCTTTTAACGTCTATTGGTATGACGCGGCTGGGGATCGAACCCCGGATCTTCCGCTCTCCGGGCGGACGCTCTACCATTAAACCACGGAGGCGGTCCATGAAAGTAAGTGCCAGTATGGAGGCGAGGAAACTCCCTGTACAGGTCATAGTATGGAATAGCATCGCACATCATGTTGCATGCCATATTTAATACATTCATCAGAATGTCTGCCATGACTAAGCCCCTGGTGGTTTATTCTCCTGCAGTGTTTTATTGTACGATAAACAACGACCACAAGTCGTTTACTTCTCATATGAGACATCACATTTATGTACAGCCTCTTTATGGACGTTAATAAAATGTACAAATGTTTAAAATATTTACCCTTATTTAAATAATGATGACTCCCTGCATACAACCCAAACTACCGATTGTCATATCTCTCCCACTTTTGGATGCGATCATTTTCTATTGTGTTTATCTACGTTGCCTAGCTACATCTATGAGGAACAACTCACTAGACACTTCCCTCTCAAATGAACGTCGTCCAATTTACGACGTCATCAAGTTGCGATTCATGTTCGAATCTCCAGAAATGTTTTACTTCAAACAAAATGGCGGCGCCCAGTCAAGACGATCTGATCGACAATCAAGATCTATATTGTGAGAAAACGAG